CCCCCCCCCCTCCCCCTCTTGATAGCGTTCTCCGCCAGGAAATAGTACAATCTCATTGCCTCAATATCGGCGTATTTTGAGCGCAAAGTAATTAGAAATTGTACCATCTTTGAAACCGTATCTAATGTGGCCTCCTATTCAACATTTTTATGCACTTTTTTTCGTTTTAATAACCATAACTATGAGTTCGATGGTATGTAATTGTTGCATCTGAGCGGAACAATTTATCCTGGACCAGATTTTTCGCGTCTAATTGTACTAAACAAGCAATATGAATGGAGTCGACCAAATTGGGTTGTTAAATTCCGTGAAAAATAAACACTTTAGTTGGTCATCAATCTTGCATGCACAGGTACGCGCAATTGTGTGCTGAAGTTTAGTAATTACAAGATCCATATGGAGGGTAGTAGATTATTTAGAATACGGTTAAATACAAGCCCGAAATTTATTAATGAGAAATCGATTTTATTTTTTCACTTGCCTACTTTGGCTCTTAGTAAACGTTGTTTAAACATGGATATTTTCGGCGCATTGGTCTAAATTTTAATATTATTTAACCAAATGAGCCAGGTATCCGGAAATCTGGTAATGTTTTACATGTTTCTTCATTTTCGGAAACTTAGAAAGTGACAGCGGACAGTAATAATGGTCGGCATTACTGTTATCCCCATTTGACGTGCGCAGTCGATACGGAGAATATCCGTCGGGTTTTCAATGACTGCCGTGACATCATCCAAAGAATGCATCTCCGCCAATATGAACTGCTGTAGTCATCATTCGCTATTCCCCTCCGTCACTCTCCTCTTACCCTTTCCTCTAACCATATCCACTCTGTGATCGGCCGATTTAGTCTCTTTGCTCTCTCCCCCCGCCCCTCTTTCGTCACTTGACATTTTTTTCTGTCTCTTGCCTCTAGCTTCCTCCTTGTTGTGTAGAGAAATAGAATGGAAAGAAAAGTTGATAACTCAATCAAAACACACACGCGCACTAACTGTCCCTCCCTCCCTCCCCCCTCTCCCTTCGCGTATATATTGCAAATGATTCTCCCGCATGTCTTGGCACAAGAACTAAAACCTACCTTCAACTATTTCTGTGTGTGATATTCTGCTGCGTAGTTCTCTATCTTTTGATTTGATTTTTTCTCTTGTGCTTTCTCTATCTCTCCTTCTCTCTCTCTCGCAGTAAACTGGCTCCAATCCCGGTTTCGTCGGTTCCCTCTTTAACTGAGCTTTGGATTTGTTTGTTTCGAGTTGCACAAAATTGAAACAAAATGTGAAGAAATACTCAAAACCACACACTGTATTAGTGAATGACTCTTCAATTCCCTCTGTCTTTTAGCGAAGCGCCCTTTTCTTCTTTGACTCTTTCTCTCTGTATTTTTCAGTCTCAAAGCCTCCCCCCCCCCTCCCCCTATTCTTGTCTGCCCGGCTATTCACTTTCCCTTTTCCGAGTAATTTGTACAGAAAAGCATTTTTCTGCAATTTTATCACCTCAGAAATCTGGGCTTTTAAAGGCGTCGGTGGTGTTTGTTAGCGCAAAATTTGATAATCCATTTTTACGCAATTTAGAGAATGATTATGTTTGTGTCCGTTAAATGTAGAAATAATTTTCATTCGCCCAATTATGTTACTTATTTCTATGTGTTTTCGAATCGATTAGTATCGATTAATTCATTTGATGACCTGGAAATTATTTCAGTGTGTGTGTTATTGTTCTACCCATGATGGAATTTGCATAGCTTATTCCAGAAGATCAAATATGAGGAAATGCACAAGAGTTAAATGGGGGGGGGGGAACTAACACCGCTGAACTATCTGAATGCGAATTTATCAGCTATCGGTTTAAAGAAGTGAACAGGGCTTGGGTTTTATGCAGATGGGAGGGCTTGTCCCGTGTTTGACCTAATGCACTACCTCTATCTCCGAGCAAGGTACGCACTGCAAGTTTGCACTTTTAACTATGTGTCCAAACATGCTGCCTGTTAGTTTACCTTGGGTGTTTACTGAAGTAATAAATTTGCTCTGAATCGCGGTGGTTTGCATGATTAATGCAAGATAATGTAAGATTGTGGTTGGAGTCAATGCGAAACTAGTGCGTGCTTATGCTAAATGTGCGTAAACTTTACGGTGAAATTGGGGCACTTGGAAGAACAAAAAAGTTCAATTGACTCGAAATTTTGCGCGTTGGATACAAGTGTGCACTGGATGTGTACTTTTACATGAGTATGAACTTCAGCGCTAAACATTGCAAGTCAAAATTGGAAAAGATTTTCGAAATGATCAAGAAATTGACCTAACTCCTCGCTTCAACCTAAAAGTATTTACTAGCTCTCTATTCTTTTGTGCGATTCGAGGAACCCAAGCGATCGTTATTGAAAATGACTTATTATTATTTAAGTAAGGTTAAATTATGACTAAAATGTTCGCTAATTAGCACCAAATGCTTTAAAATGTCAAGTATCAATTTTTATTGGTTCCCTTCAGTTCCTTACAGCAAGTACATTTGTGATTTGTGCTGACGTATGTCTATCTGATTTCATGCGTGATGTTTGCATAATGAATTATTTTACCTTAACGAGTGCTGACCTTTAGTATCTATTGCTAAAAACTCCTTCTATCTATCAAGAACCACAGGAATTTTTCGGGTCGGTTGCTACTCAACGAAAACGTCCCCATCTAATGAGAAAGCACATTCTTATACACATATTTGAGGTATGAATCTGATTGGCTACCTGGTTAGCCAATTAGGTAGAAGCAAGAAGACTATTTCTAGGCATGATCATAGAGGAACAGCTTCTCCTCTGTGAAGTCCGGAGTCAATTAAAGGGCTAATGATTGATATAATAAAGCCCGCCATTTGATATAAATGGAGGGTCGGCAAATAAAAAAGTGCGGAATAAACACTGCATGTTCAGCAGCCTACGTCAAAATAAATATATACGTCATATTTACACCAGCCAATCAAGAAATGTCAAATTATTCAACCTCATTGTCTGAAGAATGAGAAGAAGAAGTGAAGTGAGAACAAAAACTGGCAAATTTGGTTTATCCATAAACCTAGAAAACACTAAAATAATTCGATTGATTATGGAAAAAGTAGAGCCATTTTAATTTAAAATTTACCTAACATGATCGAGTTCGGGACCTGATTCCAGATTTCTCAGGTGGGTTCATTTTGTAATGTTCAGAACTTTCTGACCTTTCGAGAAATGTAATAGGAACTTTAGATGAATTGATAAAAACCTTACAGAAGAGGATCTGAAACGTTCTTTGGAAAATTCGGTTAGCTGTTAGTAATGCAGTGAGCATCAAATTCTTGATCTCTTAAAGTGTCCACAAAGTGGTCGAATATGCGAATCTGAATTGCCTCTCAGCAGTAAGAGTGGGTGAAATGGTTGTGTTTAAAATGCACGCAATTTTATTGTTAAATAAAACAATAAGCAAATTATTTTATGCTCAAATTAATATAATTTACTTATTTATTCCTCAAATAAATTAAAACGAACCTTTTAAGACAAATATCAGTTTCATTTTGGACTGCAAAATTAGGCTTAGCAGGATCATGCGTGCTCGAGCATTCTGGAATGTGGCGGCAAGATGCAAATCGCGCCTGGTAGTAAATGAAGGCATGAGTGGGGAGATCTCTCGAAAAATCA